GCGGGGAACCTCATACGTTGCCAGTGGGAATGTAAAATGGTGCAGCTGCCATGGAAAACAGTTTGATGGTTCCACAAAAAGTTAAAATATGACTCAGCAATGCTACACCTGGGATTCCACGACCCAAAAGGATTGAAAGCAGTGACTCAGATACCTGTACATACGCGTCCATGGCAGCTTTAGTCACAATAGCCAAAAGGTGGAAACGTCCCAATGTCCATCAACAGATGACTGCATAAACACAATGTGGTGCATCCATACGGTGGGGTATTACGCAGCCATAAAAAGGAAAGAAGCTGACACACGCTACAACATGGATGAACCTCCAATATATCGTGTTGAGTGAGTGGAGCCAGACACAAGAGACCACACAGTGTATGATTCCATTTCCATGAAATGTCCAGAGCAGGCACATCCATGGAGACAGACAGCGGATTGGTGGTTGCCAGGGTTGGGGGAGGGGTAATAGGGAGTGACTGCTGATGGGCACGGGGTTTCCTTTTGGGGGGATGAGAATGTTCTGGAATTAGAAGTGATGGTTGCATAACATTGTGAACTACTAAAAACCACTCAATAAAATGGTTAATTGTATGTCGTGTCAATTTCACCTGTTTTTAAAAATTAAAAATAAAAACTTTAAAAGTGCTGTGGGAAGAACACGGGGTGTCGGTTGGGAAAGAGACCCAGGAGGGCCTCGCAGAGGAGGCAGCCTTTCCTCAAAGCCTCGAAGGGAGCGAGCGAGGGGCAATCACAGCCATTACAGGGTCCCTGGGTTGAGATCAAATCATAGCGAATTATATTAAATTTCGTTCAAATTTCTTTTTCTGAAAAACAACCACAAAGTTGGTGCTGAGGACGGCGGCAGGAGGCGAGGGTGCCCCTTCGTGAACTTACCGAGCTGTGGGGGCTTCCGCGACCCGCCCCACACCACCCCGTCTCTCCTGGGGCCGCCGCCCCGNGGGAACTCAAAGTGTTGACAATATCTCTGGGTGACAATTGGGAGAACGGGTTTGGTCCGGTGTTCTCCCGGGTTTCTACTCTCTAGACACACTTTACAATTTATTTCTGAGTCTGTATCTGACCTTCCAATTCCGTGGGATTCTGGGATCAGAGCACCTTTCAGCTCGTGCTCTCTGGAGGGAGATGTGCTTATCTCCTGAGGAACAGGTCCTGGGCAACTGAGCTTCACAGCTTGACTCTTGCCCACATCATCTCAATCTGGGGTGCCACAGGATTCACAGGGGCATCTTTCTGAAGAATCAGATTTTCTTGATTCTTTTGAGAGAAAAAGCCTATTAATGTACTTAGGGGTGACATTCACCTAATCTTAGGGGTGAGATTTGTAAGATCTTAATGGACTTCTCTCTGAAATGATGCTTGGGTTGTCCTCTTTCTGGTAGGTCCCCAGATCCCTAGGGGTGTGTCCTCATGGACTCCTGCCATTAGGAATCATGACATAAACGTTGGAGAAGTACTCGTGTACAGCTGCATTGACATAAATGTTTGAGAAGTACTGGTGTGCAGCTCCCCCAGCTCTTTAAGAGAGGACCCTGATGTCTGATTTGTATTTTGCCCCCTGGCAGCTGCTGATTCATGACGAAAACCCAGAAGACTGAAGTTAAATTTCATTATTGCCATTTTTTAGTCATATTTTCAGTCCATTTCTTCAGCTACTTGGTGATCATATCAACACCTTGTAGGGATGCTGGCAGCATTAAATAAGATGGGAGAAATAAGAATATTTTGTAAACACTGTAAAGTAGGATGAGAATAGAGGGGCTTAGAGAGCTCTGAATATCACCGCTTTTCCTTTCCACAGTTAAGGGAGTACCAAGAAAGGAACAGCCCTGCTGGTCCCAGAGCAAATAACAAACTAAAATCTGGCAGCTCTGAGTCAACCACACATGGTGGTTTCCAGTCACCTCGGGAGGTGAGTCTTGGCTGGCCAGGCTCCTGGGAACAGGGGATTCAGAGGTGGCTGAATGGTTTTGTGTCTGAGGTACCCCAGAAATTGGGGCCCAGAAGGGGACAGAGGGAACTGAGAAGTAGGATAGAAGGAAACTGAGGCAGGGATTTATAAGAGAGAGAGAGAAGATCTTGGACCAGCCTTCTCACTGGGTGTTGGGCTCATCCCCTCTTCTCTGAGCTTCTCCCTTGATGCTGTACACATGAAGGATGGACCATGAACTTGGATAACA